GGAAGCGAGTGCCTCACTCATGTTATTGCCTGGCCCTAGACGGGTCGTAACAATACAGACTGCGTCAGTAACCAACAAAGTCATCCTTTGTCCAGATTTGATAACTTCTGCCTCCAATAACCCAAAACGTTGGTGACCAAAGTGTTAATGTTGAGGCCATGTGGTCAACAACAAAGCTGCCTGTGTACCTATTTGTTGCAAATAAGAAAGGCAAACATAAGGAAAACACGGGGAATACATGCAACAAGGGTGCATGGAAAGTAGATTGAATACATTTCCTGACTAAATATTTGCAGGCGGTCTGATGTTACCGTCACACTGCTCCCTCCATTCAGAGGTTGAATATGCCAATCAAACTAATAGAGGAAGAGGTTTAATATGAGGATGACATGCAACTCGTAGAGCATCGCTGTGGATGTGAACCAATTACAGGCCTGAATACTAAAGAGCAGAGACAACAGGACAGTCTGCTCAAGTGGACAGGTCATGAGTCGTCCTTCAGCTCCTCTCGTTCATCTTCTCGCAAGAATGCTTCATTCCTGATATGAGAAACCAAACTATGAGGCACTAATGTGCTCTATTAATCTGCATTGAGAAGCTGAACCAATAACTTCTCCTCAAACTATTTGTATAGATTTTTTTATGATGCTTTAAGGATTTTGTGATCTTTGAGTTTAATTCCCAACTAAAAACCAAAACTTTTAATACTTTCAGATGCAAACGCGTATAGAAGGCTGAGGTTAGGTTGCATGAATAAAAAAGTATTTAAAGGTTAAGAGTCTTTGCAAATAAATCTCACACACAGAGACAAACCAACACTGAATGCATCCAAGTGAAACTGTTTGAGTACATTGCATTGCTTTATGCCAAAGAGCTGCATCATTACTCCAAACTACTAAAACCCCATTAATGAGGCATGTTCCATATTCCTTCGTCACCATAAACACTCTCGCTGTATTTTATTTTAAAATGTTCCCGTCTTGCTTAACTCGCTGCTTTAGCAGGATATTAATTAGATTTTTGGAGAACCAAAGTTGAAGTAATATCCTGCTAAAAACATTACCTACACCTTCTCCTCCTGTTTGTTAAAAGCGACGCTGTCCAGCGGTTTGTAAAATATAAATCCATACAGGCTGAACTGTAAATATTTGGACGGGTACGTGTTCTATAAGTTGTATATTTTATGGTTTATTTTTCATGCGTGCACTTATGCAGTTCTTTCTGAACTGTATGTGAAATACAACACATCAGACTGAAGGACAGCTGCCATTCTGTACAGGAAGCCCAGTTTCTTTTCTTTTCTGTTTAGTTTTTTACTTTTTTATTATTTTAATGATTGATGATTGTAACAGGAGCGATGAAGCTCAACAGTAAGACTGATGTTTGTCAAAACAAGCAGAGATAGCTTATTGGATAACTTGATGCGAACTTGAGTCATTTAATGCAAAGCATTCCTCGCGGCTGCTCTTCGTTTGCATCCAAATCAGCTGATGAGATTAGAACTTGTAGCTTTTTCCAGTTTGATTTGAAAGTTCTTGTTTATTAAAGTGTTCCCTGTTTAGCTCTTATGCTAGTTTTTGGGTCCATTTTGAGTTTTATCAACTAGTCCTTAATTACAGTTTCTGAGTTCATTCAGTCTTTCTAGTTTATTCTGCATTTCCCTTTTCTTCAAAAAGATTCGGCATGAGCCCCCGCATCCTCAGGACCTTCTATCGCTGTG